CTCTCTGCCCACAGCCTCCCTGTATTCTATTGTGGAATTTGGAATTATACGCGGAGTGTTGAGAATGGTTCACTCAGGAACAGCCCTTTAAAAATCAGATTAGATATACTTAGAGAAATCCTGCCTCGGGCAGGGGTCTCTGGTGTTTGCACAGACGTCATCCCTGGTGGCCGCCGGCTTTTATATGCACTGTGCCGCCCAGCTCAGATGCAGGGCTTGGCATCATCCCATCCAGGTTGAAGTCCCAGCAGCGCAGTCTCTTAATGGACTGGTGACCTAGGACAATTCACTCCTTTGCTCCAAATCCCCATTTTCTCATTTGTAGAATAAAAACTTAAAAAAAAAACAACAAAAACCCAATAACAAAGAAAATCAGATGCAACTCTGTTGTCTAGCTGGTGGCATTAGACATTGGGGCAGCCCCTGGCAAACAAACTTTGGTAGCATGCACCCAAAACCACAATCAAAGAAAGGTTTATACCTTTGGTAGTTGATATCTCACTTCTGGAAACCTACATGAAAAATGAACTCTGAATGGGAAAGAGCTGTATGCGTGAAGATGTTCATGGCAATCTGAATTATAACAACAAAAGTTAGCCAGTTGTCCGATAATAAGAAGATGGGTGAGTTGATGTTTGGACAGCCTCTCAGTGAAATGCCTTGTTCCCATTAAAAGCAGTGACCTCAAAGTCCATGTGACACCAGGGATATGCTGAGGTTTAAGTGAAAACACACAATACCCCGAATTATATGCATAACAGAAGTGCAACTTCATAAAACACATGTCTGAAAAACATTACGTGAAAATACAAAAGTAGTAGTTAATGATTATGGGAAAAGGGAAAGGTTATGAATGATTTTTTTTCTAATTCCGACTTTTGGTAATTGTAGTTTTAATTCTTTTATTTTAAGAAGAAGAAGAAGAAAGGGGTGTATGGGTGAATAGAAGTGGAGAGGAATGTTCCAGATAGATTTTAGAGCTGATGGAGGTGACAGGTGGCTCGCTCTGCAGGGCATGGGGTGACACCCTCCAGGGCTTAGGTTCCACCCAGTGGTTTGCTGGTCAGGATGCTCGGCGCTCCCGCTTGTAGAGGTTGCAGTGGTCAGCACCACTGGCTCGAGGAAAGCATTTCCGGGACTGTTGGATTCGGGGTGTGGACCCTGCGCTGCCCTTGGGGAGGTGCCCCTACCAGGACCAGGACTGGGTCAGAGCAGCGGGGCAGTGCCGGGAGGAAGAGGAAGTGGAAGAGGAAGACCCTGTCTTGCCAGCTCAGGTAGCCGTGACAGATACTGCAGACTGGGGACTTAAACAATAGACGTTTACCTCTCACAGTCCTGGAGGCTGGGAGTCCGAGATCGCGGGACGAACAGGGTCTGTCCTGGTGAGACCCCGCTTCCTGATTTGCAGACGGCCGCCTTCCCGCTGTGCCCCTCCATGGTGGGGAGAGACAGCAACTCTGTGTCGCTTCTCATAAGGGCACTAATTCTGTCACTGGGGCCCCACCCTCATGACCTCATCTAACCTCCCATAGGCCCGACCTCCAAATACTATCACTTTGGGAGTGAGGCCTTCAACATGTGACTTTGGGGGCGCACAAACACACAGTCTGCGGCGGACATGAAGGTGGAGTGTCAGGCAGAGGAGGGCAGGGTCAGGCCTTTGGAGCTGCCTGCAGGCCTGCCCTTGACTGTCCTGGTTTAATCCGCACTGCAGTGCTGCTGTATTGACTGGGCACCCATCTGTGTCACCCCCCCGGGGGCGGTCACCCTCCCCAGGAAGGCGCTAGAACCCCTCCTTTAAAAAAAAATTTATTGAAGTATAGTTGATTTACAGTGTGTCAGTTTCTGGCGTACAGCAAAGTGATTCAGTTACACGCGTACACACACACACACACACACATATAAATATTCTTTTTTGGATTCTTTTCCATTATAGGTTATTACGAAGTATCGAATAGAGTTCCCTGTGCTGTACAGTGGGTCCTTGTCTGTGTATTTTATATGTACTACTGTGTGTCTGTTAATCCCCAAGTCCCGGGTATCCCTCTGGTAGAGGCAGGTGGATGCCTTCGTGGTCAGTCAGGTTCAGGAGTCCAAGCTGTTTGTAGCGCGTGATGCGACAGGGCCTGGCGCTCCAAGCTTCTGCCTGCACATTTTCAGGGATGTGATGGCAGACCTGGAAATAACCCCCCGAGGACAGACAGGAGGTTCCAGCAAATGGACAGCAGGCAGTGCTGACGCTGCTGGGGGAGCTGTGCGGGCCGGTGCCCTTGTTGCACGGACTGAACGTGTTGCTCTCTTTCCTCCCTCCCGTGTTCCCCCAGAGTCAGATGGAGTTCAGCATCTCCTCCTTATCCATCCAAGAGCCGAGCTGCGGCAATGCCGGCGAGCCCAGGCAACCGTCCAAAGCTCCCCAGGGCTCGCAGGCCCTCCGTCCCTCCCAGGCCGGCAAGTCCTCCAGCCTGGACGCTCTGGGTCCCGCCCGGAAGGAGGAGGAAGCATCCTTCTGGAAGATCAATGCAGAGCGGTCTCGGGGGGAGGGCCCCGAGGCTGACTTCCAGTCGCTGACCCCCAGCCAGATCAAGTCCATCGAGAAAGGGGAAAAGGTCTTGCCTGCCTCTTCCTGGCAGGAGCCGGCCCCGAAGGCCAGGGAGGCCCAGGCAGAAAGGCCCGGCGTCCTCCGCCAGGAGCAGCGAGTCCTCCCCAGCACCAGCCTGGACCACGAGCGACCCCTGCCTGCCCAGACCTGCACTAGCCCGCTGGGCGAAGCTGTCCCCGCCGGGCCCGTGGGGAAGCCGCCCTCCCCCGAGGCCGGGTGGGAGGCCACGGAGGACACAGAGGACGCCCTGTTCTTGGATCCCGTGCCCGCACAGGTAGGTGCCTTGCTTCAGGCCGGGCGGCCCCTTCCTCCAGGGGTGACAGGGGGGCGGCTCCCCCATGCCCACGCTTCCTTCTTCCTCCCCTGCCCTTCCTCGGAGGACTTTGGGTTCAGGGCTGCTGAGCTGTCACTCAGTTTGGTGGCCAGCAAACATGCAGGAGACGTGTTCTGAGTCCGTCTGGGTGCCGTGACCCATTTGCCTGTTATGCGGTTGTGCCCCAGACGCCCACTGCCCTTTCCCAGGTGGGATCAGGGGTGCAGCAGTGGGCAGGGGACCCACAGGGGGGTCTGGGAGGCTGGGCTGTGGGGTTAGTGAGGAAGGGACCCACAGATGCCCTGGAAGAATGTGGAAGAAGCCGGTGGGACACGCGCCCCCACCCCCACTGCCCCGAGCCTCCGCCGGGAGCGGCCGGGCTTGTTCAGGGACCACGGGAGGCCTGCATCAGGAGTGATGGGCTGCTTCCCGTTTCTAAGCAGGACAGGACTAGGTGTCCAGGGAGGGGTCCTGAAGAAAGGACCTCTTTCTGGGGATGGAAGAGAAGCCAAAGAAAGATCTGAGTGGTTCGCTGGGTGAGGGCGGTGTGTCGTGAAGAAAGGGTTGCACCGGGGACTAGGCAGTGTGAGTGGCTTCTGCACGTTTGCCCTTTTTTGTGGAGCCCCGACCACTGTGTTTCCTGGAGGGTCTGCATTGCTTCAGCAGCTTAGCAAAGAGAAGAGAATGTTTGCTTATGACTTTAAATGGAGCTAGTGTTGGAGATTGCTCAAAACCTAAATATATAGAGAAATGATCATCGTATTTCTGAGGGAGGTCATGGTTTTGAGACTTTGTTTTATGATGAACGAAGCAATGCTTTGGATAAGGCACGTCTGAGGACCACTGCTGGGGGAAGACCGTGGACCGCTCACGTCCCCAGGTGAGGCCACGAGCAAGGTTCCCTGTCCTGTTCATCTGGGGGATGGGCAGTGCTTCCTAGAACATGAATGCTTCTGCCCTTAGCTTCTCTGGATGGGTCAGGGTGCTTGCCCTCGGTCAGAGGGGTAACCGAGGGCACCCCTGGGCCTCCCGGGAGTGCTCCCCTGCTCCCCGGTGCTGACCCTGAGCTGGGGCCATGCTGGGATGCTTGAGATCTCATTTTTAAACAAACACGTCTGGGCTCACGCAGCCTGCATGTTCTGGTACTTTCAGAGGAGCCCCCGGGAGGCTCTGCACCCAGGGCTGTCCCAGCAAAAGCGTATTAGACCTTTTCTTTGGGAGCTGCTTAGGCAGCCAGTGGCCTATTTTGTCTGGTTGGGTCTGGATTTCGGAGCTGGGACAAGTCACCTGTTGGCATCACCTCTGTGCACCTTGGTGGTTTTGTCCATGTTGGTGTCATCTAGACTCCTTGGCTGTCTTCTTCCTTCTTCCTCCGTCTTTTTCCTTCCTTCTTTCCTCCCTCCTCCTCCTCCACATATACTGAAAAGATTTTGTTATGGCTACATATACATTGTTGTGCCGCCATCACTACCATCCATCCACAGAACTCTTTCATCTGGAAACTGAAACTCTGCCCCCATTGAACAGCCCTGTGACCCCCTCCTCCTTCAGCCCCTGGCAACCATCATTCTACTTTCTGTCTCTCTGGATTGGACTTCTCGAGGGACCTCATATACGTGGAGTCACGCAGTATTTGTCCTTTAGTGACTGGCATATTTCACTTGGCGTCATGTCCTCAAGATTCATCCATGAACCATGTGTCAGAATGTGCTTCCTCTTTAAGGCTGAGTAATATCCCACTGTGTGTGTGTACCACATTTTGTTTATCCGTTCATCCGTCCGTGGACACTTGGGTTGTTTCCACCTCTTGGCTGTTGTGAATAAGGCTGCCATGATGTTGGGTGTGCAAATACCCGTTTGAGTCCCTGCTTTCAATTCTGCTGGGCAGATGCCCGGAAGAAGAGCAGCTGGATCATATGGCAAGGCTGTGTTTAATTTTTGAGGAACTGCTGTGCTGTTCTCCAGCAATGACTGCACTGTGTCATACTTCCAGCAACAGTGCCCCGGGATTCCAGTTTCTCCGCGTCCTCACCAACACTTCTTTTCTGTTTTCTGTTTTGATAATGGCCATCCTAATGGGTGTGAGGTGGTATCTCTCCCTGCGTTTTGATTCACCCGTCTCTAAGGACTGGCGATGCTGCGTGCCTGGCCATTTGGGTGTCTTCTTTGGGGAAATGTCTATTCCTGTCCCTTGCCCGGTTTTAATCGGCTGTGAGTTTTGCTGTTGAGCTGTGGTCATCCTCCAGGTACTTCCTGGATCGGGGTGCCAGGGGCTTCCACGCCTCCCTGGTCAGCTGTCCTCCTGAAGAAGGACCCCTGTGACAGGGACCCTCTGCCTTCCATCAGCTCCATATCAACTCCCCAGTCTGTCCCCCCTTTTCAGGGTCTCCCTCATCTTAGGCCCCTCCCTCCCTTTGCAGCTCTGTGCCTGCCCCGGGTGGCCCCTCTGTTCTGTGTCTCCAGTCTCCCTGCCCAGTGGCTCCTTCTCGCTGATGCACACAGCTCGCCTCTGTCCCTGTCCAGGGCGCATTTGTATGATACGTGCGGTTTCTGTTTTTTTGGTGGGAGGTAATTAGGTTTATTTATTTATTCTTAGAGGAACTGGGGATTGAACCCAGGACCTCATGCATGCTAAACTTGCACTCTACCACTTGAGCTATCCCCTCCTACCCTTGGAGGAGGAGGGTTCTTTTGTTTTTGTTTTCCTTTTAATGGAGGGACTGGAGATTGAACCCAGGACCTTGTGCATGCTAAGCATACACTCTACCACTGAACTATCCCCTCCCCCCTTAGATATGTGAGTCTTAGTTGTAAAGAGATGCAGGAAAGTGGGGAGGCGTGGGGAGACTAGGACGGGACACATGAAATCCTTTGGGAGAAAAGATTTCTGAGTGCAAAGCCCGGCACTCATCCATCCACGGAGCTCTTCCATCAGGGTGTGAACTGCTGCCGCATTTAAGACACTGGTAGGAAACCAGAGAAAGGAGCGCTTGTCTGAACTCCTTCGGCTTTCCCAGCTCTGGCTGTCTCTGCTTCAGTCTGAGAGGCAGGAAACTGGGCCCGAGTCCCTCCTGCCACCGCGTGGAGGGCGGGCCGTCAGGGCGTCCCCGCTCGGGAAGGCTGCGGCCACCGGCTCACCACGTGCTTGTGTCAGACCAGAGGAGAGGGGCCTCTCAACTCAGGCTGCTGGAAGCCGGTGGAAACGGGTCTGAACGCAGCTGCCTGTGCTCACAGAGCAACCCCATGTCCTGTAAGCGGAATGAAGACTGGCCCTGGGTCGGGGAAGATCCCCCCAGAACCTTCCACATCATCCGAAACAAAGAATTCTTTCTCCGTATTTTTTGTTCCCTCAACTTGGCCATTGATTTTTTGGTTTTGTCTGTCCCTCTGTGTGTCTGTGTGTTTCATATTAGAAAGACTCTCTCTGTGACTCAGTTTAAGCACACCTGTCCTTCAGAAATAGAAAGCATACTTTTTTCTCCTTTTCTCTGTGGGGGGGGGGGTCCACAGGCTGCCCTCAGACATGCCTGGGGACAGAGAGGGGGTACGTGTCGGATCCTGGCAGAGTGTGGCTTGCGATGAATTTTATTTAATTTTCTGGGTCCCAGCACTGAGGCAAAACGAGGTCAGGGAGCCACCGAGATGGAAGCAGGCTACTTCATTTGGGTCATTTTAAATGAGATGCTGTTTTTAGATTATGCATAACTTAAAAAAAGCCTTATGCCTTACTTTGATGTTTTTGTCCCTTCTACAGGTCAGCTCGAGTAATGTCATCTTGAAGACAGGATTTGATTTTCTGGACAATTGGTAAAAAATGCGTTCGACAAAACAAACCAACCAAGAACCCCAAAATACTTTCCAAAGTGGTAGGCAAAGGAGGAGGAAAAAAAAAAAAAAAAGACAGCATTTTCCTGTGTCTTTTCCTGGTTTCTGTACACTTGTTTCTTAATCATTTGGAAGCTGGTAAATGTTGCCTTGTCCAGATTCCCAGTTTCTCTTTTTTTGGGGAAGACCAGCTATCTATGCTATTTTCAATGATTTGATAACAGAAGTTTTTACATTTGGAATTAAAAAAACCAGACAAACTCTTAGGAATTCAGGAAACCTTATAAATAAAAACTTCTGCTCCAGCTCCACCCAGTTCTTCCCCTCCTGAGAGAGTTTTCTCCACCGTGTCACAAAATCAGAAAGTGATTTCCATGGCCTCTGCCTGGTCCCCTCCCTTTTAAAACTGTGCGGAGCCACCTTTGATGGTGGGAGTTGGAGGCGACCTCAGCGTGAGCGGCCCTGAACTCTCGCCCGATGCTCCCGGCTGCCCAGGGCTTCCCCAGCCGAAGCCGCGTGTCTCACGTCCTGTTCCTCCCTCATCCTCGTCCTTTCCAGGAAAGACAGTTGGCACATGGTAGAGGTCGTCTTTAAGCTGATACTTACTCAAGCAAATTATTCATCATTGTTTAAGAAGAGTTGCATGTTTAAAAGTTTTGTATTAACTTCGCGTTATTTTGTATCTAGATGTAGCAGTTGTAGGGTTACCGCTTTTCTTGGGTTCGACCAGCTTCCCCCTGTAGAGCCTCGCTGCTCCTGGGACCTGCCGAGTGTTGCCTGCCCTGCGCGTCTGCAGGAGGCAGGCCGGGTGGCAGGCGCCGCTGGCCGGACCAGCATCCTCTGATCAGCCGCGTTAGGACCTCCCAGCGTGGGGCTGGCGGCGGCAGCGCTCGTGCTTCAGCCCGAGGACCGGTCAGACTGCGCCACGGTGGCCCCTCCCCGAGCCCGGAGCGAGGGCCGAAGCGCCCCTGCAGGCCTTCGTGGTCATGGCAACAGCATCTCGTGGCGCTGGACTTGGCTGCCGGCAGCGCTGCCGCTGGGGAGGGGGCTGGGAGCAGCTCCGAGGCTGCCCAGGGGGGCAAGGTGGCCCCTGCCCCAGATGGGGTGGGGTAGGATGGGAGGGGACGCCCTGTCCAGTGGCCCCTGCGCAGCGTGAGCCTGCAGGACATTCCCGAGCGCGGTTTCCACGTTGCTTCACTGTGTTCTCCTCACCAGACGCCTTAATCCCCGTGAGTCCTGCCGGTGAGCACCTGGTTTCAGTATCAAAGTGTGTCTTTTAAAATGCCTTTGTTTCATAGGACCTTCTGAAATGATTTCCAGAATATTTGAACCAGCTCCAGGGTAAAGACCATGGCGACATGTATTTTTTTCCAGGAAAGTTTCTGCCAAAGCTGTGGCCTGGCCAACTTTTGGCTTGGTTTCTGCCAATTGCGTTATGTCCCTAACCCTCATTTGGCCCCTTGGGGTGTTGGCTTTGACCCTTCTTTTTGGTGACAGATTGCATTGTGGTGAATACAGGTTCTTTCTGTACCGTGTGAATATAGCTGAAACATTCAAGGGGGAAAAAGGTCCCTAGCATTGTGGTGAGGGCAAAATGAGTTTAGCAGTCCCAGCCGGAATCGTACGGTGGGTGCCAGCCCCTTGGGTCAGCCACTGAGCCTCAGATCTGGGCTCACCATCTGCTCCACTTCCAGCTTCGAGGGCTGTCGACTGTGTGAGAACCCACATTTGAAAGCAGGTTCCCCTAATGAAAGAAAGATATTCAGAAGTGAGTTCGCATTCCTTGGTGTAGTGGAGAAGAAAGATCTACATTCTGGGACAGACGATTAGCCCGGGGTGATCTGTCTGTTCTGTTGGGAGATGGTTCTAATTTCTTTTCCACTTTCTCCTGAAGCCCAGGATTCCCATCAAGCTCTCCTGGGAGCTGAGGGGGTGCGGGGATTATGGAGAGCTTCTGCCTTTTTTGGCAACATCTGAGGTCCAGTACCCAGTGGTGTTCAGTTATCTGCAACAGTTTAAAGTTGCGTAGAGTTTCAGCCTCCTGAGATTAAATGTAAAATCAAAACTTGGGAAATCCTAGAGGGCGTTCTAAAGCTGTGTTGCTTTGTTCTATTCTCGGAAGTGATGAAGCATGAGAGGGAGAGGTGGGGGCCTGGGGGACACCCACTCATGGGCCTCATCCTGCTGACCTGCGGTTCCTCCTCTTAGTCCTGGGTGGTCTGTGCAAAGATGGGTCCTGGTACCGTCCTCCTGGGAATCTATGTTCAGTGTTTCCACGTAAGGGAAAATTAAGCTCTTCTGTTTGCCACTTTTTCCCCTATGGATCAGGATAGGGTTTCTAAAACCAGTCATTTTCATTTATTGTTTTAAAAATACACATTTTTTCATGCATGCTGAGCATGCACGAGGCCCTGGATTTAATTCCCAGTACTCCTCTGAAAATAAATAAATAAACCTAATTACCTCCCCCACTCCCTGCAAAAAAAAAAAAAATACATACTTTTCAGCTGAAGCCTGAATGTGGTTTTGGGTCCCCCCTCCCTTGTCTGCCCCCGAGGTTCAGCTCAAGGATTCAGTGTCTTGCTTTCGGTGACTGCAATTTGCAAAATCACCACCAGGAAGTTAGAAACCAGTCTCAGTTCTTTCACCTGGGGTCCCTCCCTGCTGCCCTCTGGGTTTGGGGGTACCGCCTGCTCTGGGAACAGCACCTGCATGGGTGCAGAGCAGCCTCTCTTTCTTTGATACACGTTTTCAACAAATGAAAAATTCTTACTGACTACTTGTAACTTGGTTGTATTTTATATTAACAGCCTTTAATAAAGCCATTTAAAATTTGCTTGATGTGTCTTTTTGGGACCGCTGCTGGAGCCAGGATGCCTGCGAGGATGACTGCCATTGAACAGAGGAGGCTGGAAGGATTCATGCTAGTTAAAGGCAGATTGAAACATCTTCAGAAAGCCCACTTTTGCACAGTCTGGCTTTGCCCCCCCTGCAGGTTAATGGGCAGCAATGGCCGAGGTCTACTGGCCCCCAGCAGAAGGGCTGGGCTTCTGCCCTCAGGTGACATGGAAGCCACGCACGGCTTTCCAAAGACAAGCTGATTGCATCAGGTGGTGGACTCAGAAATGCACGTGCGATCTCCCTGAAATGTTGCACCTTGAGTATATTTGAAGCTGAGTCTTCCTGGAAGAAGTACAAACTCAAGCGTGGCCTGTCAGTCCTGTTCCATTCATTAAGATGCAGGTGGTAAGTTACCAGCTATTCATGGACAAGAATTTTTCGATGTCAGGTTTTAGAACTAATACCCCTGAGGAGAATGGGGCTTCAGACTGACAGACTTCTTCTAAGTCATCACACACAGTAGGGCCTTGCTGCCTTGGGGACCACAGATTTCCTGATAAGCAAGTGAGTTATGTATTTGCTGACTCTTTGGTATTCAGTGATTTGATGACATCTGTGGGCCAGCAAGTGTTAAATTACTGTATGTACACATTATGAGAGGAGGCAGAGTATCTCCCAAGCCCATAGGTTTGGCAACTTTCATGGTAGCTCAGTATGGTACTAACATAGCTACCCCCCCCCAAAAAGTATTTCTATGCAAGAGGGAGCCATTGACATAGAGATAAAACATATCTGGGTGTGTTCAGCACTTTGTAGCCCGGAGGGAAAATATTGAATCTGGAAGACAGATATGTGCTCTGTTGTGGAGTATTCATGGGGCTTTGCTAGAAGTTTCTTTGGTCTGATCCTCTGCTTATATTTAATCTTCTAATGAGCTTCTCAGCCTTCTGGGTGCCTTGATACCAAGATGGGGACACCCTAGGAGGAAATCAGTGATTCTGAACCCCACCCAAGCTCAGGCAGGAAGCAAATGAGCAGTTCTGAAGTATCAGATCAAGTTAAGAAAAACCAAGAGTGGTGATACCAACTAGAAACATAAATTAAAAGAAAGTAACTCATCGTGGCAATCAAAAATACAAAGTATCTAGGAATCAACTTCAACAAGTATACAAAGACTTCTTTAAAGAAAACTATAAAAAAGAGATAGAACATGTAGAAAAAAATCTGAATAATCCTGGGGGTGGGGGGAGGATAACTTAATATTATAAAAATGTTCATTTCCCCCAAATTGTTTTATAAAGTTAGCACAACCTCAACAAAAATGGCAGTTGGATATTTATGGGAAATTTGATCAATTTATAACACTAAATGTAGATGGAGAAATCATAGTTCACTGAAGAATGAGGGAGACCTTGTGTATTAGCTGGGAACACACGTTTGTGGGTGTTGGTGCCGGGACAGATGATTAGATCAACACAGTAGGCTGGAGACCTCGGGGCCAAACCCACACATATAAGGAGAGTTAGTTCACAATCAAAGTGGCATCACAAATTAGCAGGAGGAAGGAGAGAGAGAAATGTGACTTCCTACCCAACACCTCACAGAATGTGGGCTCCATATGGATTCAGGCCCAGATTATAAAAGGTGCACGTGTAAAGCTAATTTAGGAAAATATCATGTGACCTAAGGCAAGGAAGGACTTCCTTCATGAAAGTTCAAAAGTACAAACCATAAAGCAAAATACTGAATCTCTTCCTTGAAAACTGAGGATTTCTGTCCGTGAAGTAGACTATGGATAGAGTTAATTAGCTGAAAGGATGGGAGGAGATATTTGCTATGTCCATTCCAATAAAGGGTAAGTATCAAGATTACATAGGGCACTCCTCAACAAAAAGAGGCCAGCAACCTGAACAGAGAATTAATGCTACAGAAAATCCTTAAAAACTGTCGAGCACATGAGAAGCGACTGAAAATAATTGGTCGTCAGAGGGGAAAAATTAACTGGATGATGCCAAGTGTTGGCAGAAATGGGCTAGAGAAGTGGTTCTCAACAGGAGGGAGGTGGTGAGTCTGCCCACCTTGGGGACTTTAGGTAGTGTTGGGAGACACGTTTTGTCATCACAGCTGAGGGAGAATATGCTATTGGCATCTAGTGGTTGGAGACCAGAGATGTACCAACCACCTTACAGTGCACAGGACAGTCCGGCAACAAGGAATGGTCTGGTCCAAAATGTGAGTACTGCTGAGGCTGAGGAATCCTGGGACGGAAGAGCTGTGCACCCATTGTGTCAAGAGTAATGTCAAGAGTAATCTGCTGCTATTTTTGCAGACTAAGTGTACAAATATCCCAGGACCCCACAATTCCCCTCCAGGACATGTGTCTTAAAGAAATTCTCACATAGGTGCTTCAGGGAATACAAACAGGATTGTCCATTGCAGTGCTGTTTGTGGGAGTTGGAGGCAAGCTAAATGTGTGTCACCGGGAAGATCATTAGAGAAAATGTGATGGACCCACACCATGGGTTATTACGCAGCACTGAAAAGCAGCAAATTAGATTTACACAGGGCAACGTGGATGGATCTGAACAACTGTGTTACTTACTGCAAAAAGACAAGAAACAGTGGAATACAGAATAATACTGTCTGCATAAATTAAAACCATGCACAGAAAACAGGACATTTAATAATAGAATGATTGCCTTTTGGAGGAGGAGAGGTGGAAATAAGGGTGGCAGAAAAGAGATATAACAGAGAGCTCCAGAATGGACCAATGGCGATCATGTTCCCGTAGATGGCTGTTGGCGAAGAAGTCTGCCCTCTTTCGTCACTGAGATCTATTACTGATCTCTCCCATCAGACGGGACACTGTTGTTTAACTGGTGAGCTAGTTCAGAGGTGGCCCTTGGCCAGCATTGGTTAGGTCTTTCATGGCTGGGCTCTGGTTGTAATTTGTGTGACTCTAGTTGGACATCAGCCAACATCTGTAAAGCCTGAATCAATCCAGGTACAACTGAGCAGGTTGGGAGAAGAGCGGGGATTAAGAACTAGTGACACCTGATGCCCTGTTCCTTGGGGGACAGAGATCACATGGGCTGTGTGGGGTTGGGCAGTGCACTCTGCAGAGGGGAAGATGGTTCCAGTGCTTGCCCAATGCCTTCCCCGGAGCAACCTGAAACTTACCCCAACAAAGAATTTATCATGCAATAAAATCACATACTATACTGTGTGTGAGGATCTTTAAAAATTATTCTTAATATTCTTTTTTTTTTTAATGGGAGTGCTGGGGATTGAACCCAGTACCTCATGTTCTTAATGTTCTAACTACCTTACAGAAAGTGTGTAAAACATAGTCTATTGCTTTAACACAATACCAGCAGTTTGAAGCATGTACTACTAATCTTCTATTGTGAAAATATCCAAGTCTAAGTGGAAAGCCTGCGTCACAGGGATGGCCCAGACTGGAAATGAGATCCAGATGCAAGTCTGGCAACCACATGGGCTCCGACTGCTCTCTGAGCCATGTGTTCCATTGCCTTCCCTCCATCCCCTTGTTTTGCCTTCCTCCACAGCTTCATGGCAACATCTGGCCCCAGAATTGCAACAATATTATATTTTTCTTCATAGTTCCTACTGTGTCACAACCTGGCACTAAGCACTGGAGATTTCTTAGCGTCTAATACACACAGTTGCTCCCTCATGCAGCTTACATTCTAGTAGAGGAGGTAGACTAAACTAAACACACAAACAATCTTATAGTTGAAAATTGTTCAAAGTGAACAAGCATTCTGCTTCTGGCCATGATAGAGTAGTCAGGACTAGACTTCACCCTCTCATTATAAACAACTAGGAAACTGGAGAAAATATATGTAACAGTGACTTACATAGACTTTGGACAACAGTCATGCAAGACCATGATCCTGAGAGAGGGGAGAAAAGTGAAGTAAGGCTTATAATTGTCTTGACTTTCTGAGTTGAGGCATTTTTTAGACTGTGTTGCAGAAAGCCTCCTTGAGCTGAGGAGAATGAGTTTGGGGAGGAAAAGGTAGTTGGAGTTTGCAGGAGGGAACTGTGCAGAGAAAGAGTTCCAGAAATACACACAGGATTCCCCTTGAGTATGTTGGAAGCAATTTCCAGACTGGAGCACAGGGAGGGAAAATCCAAACAGAGCCTGGCAATCTTGCTAAGATGAGGAGAATGATTCTGGAGTTGGGGAGGCAAGGCGGACTAGAATTAAAAGGGCAGAGTTCCAAAAAGGAAGATTGATGGAAATTGGCATAGGGATTCCCTAAGTCTTTGGCCAAAGACCAATCTGTACACGTATTGGGTGAAACTCTAAGGGGCCGGTCAAGAGCAACCTCCAAGGAAATAGCAGTTGTCAGGGAATTATAAGGTGAACAATTCTCAGCATTCACACAAAGCCTGGAATTATTCAAGTTCCCTTCAGTCAAAGTGCAAGTCACATTGAATATATGGGGCTGTCATCAGAGATCCTAGAAGGGCCGTGCACTAGAAGTGGGGCTAAATTAGCCTCAAAATACAGGCTACTCTAGATGTGCCCCAAAATAGTTTTAAACCCAAACATAGAAAGATCAAGCCAATTCCCAAATAATTTTGCTGCCTGCCAGAACATGTCCCACACTCTTTATAGGAATACTACAAAATCCAGCATTAAACATAAACATCACAATGTTCATCAATCAATCATAATTATTAGACATACAAATAAGCAAGGATATGTGACTGAAACAGGAGAAAAAAGACCAACCTAGAAATGACAGAGATGATAGAATTGGCAGACAGAATTTCAAAACTGCTATTATGAATAGAACCTATACGCTCAAGGATGTAAAACGTGAAGAAGAGAGAAAGGGAAATCATAGAGATAAAACTATCTTAAGTGAAAATTTCACCGGAGCAGATTAAAATTAGATGATACACTGCAGAAATAGGTGCATGTGAAGGCAGCAGTAGAATCTACCCAAAGTGAAGCCAAAA